CTTGTCCTTTTGTAGGATTAAGTTACAGGTTAGGGAGCGAGAGAAGGAGCGCCTTCAGCAATGTGTCCGAGAGCTGTGCAATGCAACGGAGGTGAACAATGACAGTCGGAAGAAAGAAAAAGGGCAAGAAACTGGATCTGGAAGGCGGGCACACAGAGGCTCCCTGGAGGACTTTTCTGGATTCTAGAGAACACGTAAGTTAAATGTGTCCTCGCTCTGAACTGTACCAGGGGAGGGCTGTTGGGCCTTTCTCCTGATTCGGATGATGGGACCTCGGAAGTGCTGCCTTTTCAGTCTGCCTCTCACGACGACCCTGATTTTTGTATTTCTTTACAATAACCACCTCCAGGAGAGTAGAACGTTTCTTAAGGCCGCTCTGTCCAACGTGTCCCTGCTGGCAAACGTCTGTCATCAGATCTCTGAGGGGGTTGTCTTTTATGGAACAGAAAATGCCTTGAAAATGCCCCACAGGGAGCTGGCCTGTGATGAGTACCTGGCCCACAGTCACTACATAACAGGGACACTCTCCTCCGAAGAAGCTGCCTTCCCTTTGGCTTACACAGTGGCCATCCACAAAGACTTTGACACCTTTGCGAGGCTCTTCAGGGCGATTTACATGCCCCAGAACGTCTACTGCGTTCATGTAGATGAGAAGGCCACGGCCGAATTTAAAGAGGCAGTGCAGCAATTACTGAGCTGCTTCCCAAACGCTTTCCTGGCTTCCAAGATGGAACCAGTCGTCTACGGAGGGATCTCCAGACTCCAGGCTGACCTGAACTGCATGAGAGACCTGGCGGCCGCAGAGGTTCCCTGGAAGTACGTGATCAACACCTGTGGGCAAGATTTCCCCCTGAAAACCAACAAGGAGATCGTTCAGTATCTGAAAGGGTTTAAAGGGAAAAACCTCACCCCGGGGGTGCTGCCCCCGGCTCACGCGATTGGCCGGACTAAGTATGTCCACCGAGAATTTTCAGCCAATAACATTTCCTACGTTATCAAAACCGGGAAATTGAAAACCCCTCCTCCTCACAATATGACCATCTACTTTGGCACTGCTTATGTGGCCCTCAGCAGGGGATTTATTAATTTCGTCCTCCAAGATCAACGTGCACTTGACTTACTTTCCTGGTCCAAGGACACCTACAGTCCCGACGAACATTTCTGGGTGACGCTCAATAGGATTCCTGGTATGTGTGTCTCTTCATTTTCATTTTTATGAAGAAATGTTGTGTTTTCTGATATTGAAAATAAGGAGCTTAGAGCAGAATATAGGTTGAACAAAATGAAAACTTTAACACTGCAAAGTTCTTTATAGGTTCAGTTTTTAAAAATGTCTTCTAGCAACATAGCTCACAGAATGAGTGCCACAACTCATCTCCATTTTACTTTATTTGAAAAATTTCAATACATTTTTTTCCTGAATGAGCTGGAAGATTTATATTTCAGACCATCCACTCTGTATTCCACAGTCCAAACTACTCATCAATCCCGAATTCTTCTATCTTCTCTTCCCCGCCAATAGCTCTTCTCCCTCATAAGGAGCTCCATCCTGTTTCACCCAAGTCAATCCCTATCAACCTTCCAGTTCACTGCTTAATCTTTCCATCCCTCCTCTCCTTCCCTTGGGAACCTACAAAGTCTGTTTCTTTGGAATACAAGTCCTTGTCTTGGTGTTGATCCTTACAGTAGTGGTCTCATGCAATATTTGGCCTTTTGTGGTTGACTACCTTCCCTCAGCATCATGTTCTTCCGGTCCATCCATGTTATGAGATGTTTCAGGGCTCTATCACAGTATTTTAGGGATGCACAGTACTCCACTGTGTGTGTGTACTAAAGTTTCTTTATCCATTCTTCTACTGCTGCAATGAACATGGGAGTACATATGTCTGTTCACGTCACGGCTCTTACTTCTTTAGGGTATATACCCAGCAGAAGTGTGGCTGAATCATATGAAATTCCCAGTTGTTTGAGGTTGCACTACATCACTTTCCACAATGGTTGTATGTATTTACAGAAACTCCAGCACTGTATGCGAGTTCTAATCACACCCTCTCTAGCATTTATTAATTTTTAAACTTTTAAATCTCAATTTTCTATATGAGGGCGGAGATAAAGAGCTCTCAGTTGTATGGCTTAATTTTGCTGGTGTACCAAGAAGCTTCTTTGTTGGGCCCACAAACCCATTCCAAATAGGTGCTAAAGTGTCAAGGCAGTAAGAGATTAAGGATCCATGTGAATGAAAAATTAAAGTTAATTCTCCATAAAGTACGGAACCTGGACAGCACAAATGGTTTGCAATTGATTGTGAACTTAAAGGTTCAAACCCACCCAGTCCCTCTGGTGCAGAAACGGTCTGGCAAGTACATGTCCATGGGGCAGTTCATTGAGTGGCTGTGAGTTGGAGACAGATGGTAGCATTTAACAACAGCTGTCCTGTGTATGTGACACTGAAAATCAGGAATAAGTATTGTAAATTAAATGTGAGTGGCAATTTGAACATTAAAAAAAAAAAAAGAATGCTTCAGTTGAAGTACCCCTAGCCAAATTCCCATCCTTTCAAAATGGGTGCAAGACACCTTTAAAATGTTTCATTTATGTATTCTTTCCTGGAATTCAACCAGAAACTTAGCACACCTTAGTCTTCATTTTATAAATGAAAAGAACTAAGTTACAAAGGCTCAACTCACCCAGCTAGTAAGGGAACAAGCCAATTGTAAGCCAGGTATCCTAATTTGTTCTTTTAAAGTTCACTTTCAATTAGGAACCAGTTGTTACTAAATTAACCCAACTTATATTTCGGGTCAAGTTCCAACTGATTTGAATAATCTCAAATTGTTTATAGTGGATCAATCCTGTTGAGAATAAACCAAACCAAGCTCACTGCCGTCAAGTCAATACTGCCTTATAGCAGCCCTATAGACAGATAAAACCGCCCCTGTGAGTTTCCCAGACAGTCAGGGTTTACGGAAGTCAATAGCCCCATCTTTCTTTTGCTGAGCAGCAGACCTTGTGGATCGTAGTCGAAGGTCTAATCATTACGCTACAGGCCTCTTCTGTTAAGAGTATGCACAGCAAACACATGCACCAATTCAACAGTTTCCACATGCTCAAGTCAGCGCCACTGATTGGGTTCTTTGATTTGTGCAACCATTTTCATCCTCTTTCTGTGATAGGATAGGGCAGAAAGAATTGTTTCATAGGGATCCCAAAGCTGTAATCCTTGTAGAGCATACTGCCCCGTCTTTTTCTTTTGGTGCGGCTGATGCGCTCAAACCACTACGCTTCCAGTTCGATGCCAAGCTACTAAGCCACCAAAGATACTCAAAACTTCACTAGCGATTGTGGTATCAGACCCTGTCCACGCTTGTCTTTTGATCATTCTTCTCCCTACTCTTCCCTCCTCTTCTTCTCTTCCCTGATGGGAGTCCTGGCGGCATAGTGGTTTATGCACTGGGCTGCTTACCAGGAGGCCAGCAGTTCAAAACCACCAGTGGAAAGATCAGGCATTTTATCCACATAAAGAGTTGTAGTCTCGGAATCTCACAAGGGGCTTTCTCCTCTTTCCTGTAGGGGTGATAGGCGTTAGAATCAATTAGACGGCATGGAATCTTCCCTAATCCATTCTGCAGTAAGAGGGCGACCTTTTAGTTGAACCTCTGACTCAGACGAGGATGATTCCAAAATAGTAAAGAGAACTCTTTAGAGACCTGAGATGCCGTTCATCTGTCTTCTACTTTTCTTCTAGAGGGCGGGTGACGACATCATCTGGGTCGGCTAGTTCTGCCTGGGACAGGGACTCTTAGAGGCCTTCTTTCATTCTTCATGTGTCACTTGCATTTAAAGATTTCAAACTTGACCATCAATTTCTGCCTCATTGGTTACAAAGATGTATTTCTAATATGACTCCTATAACAATTCCTTTCAAGCTCATTAGTACTTGATTGAAGATGAACCTTTCTTGAGAGCAGGTTGGGTGTTGGAGATTAGAGAGAGGAGGGTTGATTCGGTGCCTAGAGAAGAAAGAATAGGAAAAAGACAGACCTTGGACATTGTGAGCCGGGAAGACAGAGTCTAGCCACCTTCCAGGTGAGGGGTTCTTTCCCTCTCTTTCCTGGAGGCAGCCTGTGAGCTAGACCGGGTGTTGTTCTGTGTATGCATGTGCCCCTATGCCCTTGACACGACAGGCTTGTTGCCTTTCCATTTGCTGTAGAGTTCATTGCCATGAGTTGGAATCTACTTGACCTGCCAGCAACTATTGCTTTCGTAGAGTCCCAACTGGTTTGGCTCTTTGCCAGTCTCTGAGCCTGGATAATCACTTTCGTATTCCAAATTCTAGATAGGCCCTAGAGCGTACAACTGTTTCCTAGGGTTCCTAAGGCTATACATCTTTATGGAGCAGATGGCTTCATCTTCCCCCAGGAAGGGCTGATGAGTTTGAACTGCCAACCTTGTGGTTTAGTAGCCCAACACATAACCCACAACACCACCTGGAAGGGTGGGGGTGGAGAATAGCAGATCAAACTGAAGGTAGTCTTGGGAATTCCTACTCACCGCCTGGAGACCCTTTTTGGCACAGAGTTTCCATTTGACTACTCAACTAAAGTTAGGGGTTCAAACCCACCCAGTGGGGCAGCAGAAGAAAATTCTAGGGAGCTGTTCTATTCTGCAACACACAGTGTCTTTGTGAGTCCAAACTGGTTTAACAGTAAT